TGTGTGGAATAATCCATATTTTTTTTTTTTCAGTTCCTGCCCTGATTTGTTTACATTGCTGGTTGCCAAGAAAGACCTGTTTCTGTTACATCATTGCTTTCTACGTATCAGTGATATTTCAGAAGAGTACCTCGTGAAATGTCTGCAGTTGTATCTCAGGTATGGCACAGTTGGTATTCAGTTCTTCATTCTAACTGCTTTCATTGCCAATATATTGCCAAAACACCTCATTTTGTGATGGAATCACCTTATATTATATTGTACTTTTGTGGAATGGTACAGTATAAAACAGTATGGTTTAACGTTTATCCTACCAGCCCTGTGTATGTTTACATTTAATGACCAGATAAAGTTGCATTCCCACTTTGTATTATATGCAGAACACCTCCCACTAATGGTGACCATGAAAAATGATGAAATCAGTCGCCTTGACAACAAGTTGTGAAATATTAGAACATTGAAGCTAGCCTAATCACCAAATCAGACATACTTGTCATTGTTGTAATCACTAAAGGTCACTTCATTTTACTTTAGCAGATTCTCCAAAATTTGTTTTCAAGATTCTATTGGATAAGATTTCTAATGAACCGTTCAATATCCAATGTTCTTGTAATTGTTTAATACAGGGGTCAGTGAGTTTTTTTTCTGCAGGTCATACAACAAAGGAATGCAACTTAAAAACATTCTTTTTCAACTTGAAGCGTTCAAGGTTCTCATAAATGTGTCCTCAATTTCCTTGATGAACTTGTTTCTTCCAGTATCAAAGAAGATGGACCATTTGATGCAGTAATGGACCAAATTAAAATCAACGAAATGATAAAAAAGTTGCCAGTTTTGTTATCAGAATGTCCAATACATCCGTGTAAGGCATTTTATATGTATCCTTTTAATCATGTGACTAGGATCTGTGTTCTGATTGGTCAAAATATATCTGCAGCAATCCAATGCACTTTTATTATACATGTGAGTGCTTTTTTAGAAGAAACTGCTTTGAACTTTATCTGTTTAAGTAAAGATATAGAGATGTGTACACCAGTGGCCGTATATTAAAAACGATCACATCCTCTCCATGCATCAGATTTAATCTAGTTACTTCTGTGTGATTTGTTACATAACTGTTTTCATCTCTTTAAAGGCCCAGGTTTACTATAAATACGCTCCTAAACAATAAAAGTCGAAAGTCAAAAGTCAAAAACACGAACCGGGGAAAGGGACGTGCTACTAATCTTGAATAATTAACTGCTGTCAATCAAAGTCATGTGATCGCTGAAACAGGATGCATCATAGGCTATTCAAGTGATTAGCAACACTCATTAGCATAGCCACACCTCCAATTCACACTTGCCCCGGGCAAGTGAATTTGGCCTTTAAGGAATTGTCTTACCCTGTTTAAAATATTTACTTTCTATATTCTATAATTGCTGAATACAAGTTTGACTTACAGTGGTGAAAACCCTAGCAACGCTTACAACAAATGTCCCTGCTTGATACGCTGATTAG